AAGACAGGAAATATAAAAAGTAATTGAATCTCAATTATCCTGCCTAGTCATCTTATTTAAATTTATATAAACATTTGTTGCTTCTAAAAGAGTGAAATATTCCTTCTAAAGTTATCTAGCTAACACATGCTTTTAATATTCACATGAACTGTCTATCCATTTTCCCATTTATTTAAATAGTTGAAAGGTAACAATTATTTTCACACAGAAAATAATAGCTTTCAATTATCATTAATTATTGAGCCATTTTTACCCAGCATAATAAACATTAGTGTGTCCACCAGCCGATGAGGATAATTGCCTCATACGAAGCACAAAAGAAGATTTCTACACTTTTCTATGTTTAAAAAAACAAATGGTCAGCTATGAAGAATACTTCCAAATGACCAGTTTGTGTTCCTGGTGTGATTAGACTGCTCACATAATGTCTCCTAACTGGGCATGGTAGTGCATTCTGTCACCCCAGCACTGGGGAGGCTGAAGCAGAAGAATCCCTGTGAGTTTGAGGCCATCTGGGCTCCACAGTAAGACACTATCAAAAAACAAAAACCAAACAAACAAACAAACAAACCAACTAGGGCTGGTGGCAAGACGGCCCAGTGAGTAGAGATAGCTGCTGTCCATCCTGACTGTCTAAATTCTGTCCCTGAGACCCACGTGCTGGAAGGCTAGCACCAACTCCCCTAAGTCGTCCTCTGGCTCCACAGGTGCACCCACCCACATATGTGCACACAAAATCAACAAGTTACACACACTAAACCTATTAAAAAAATAAACAAGGCTGGGTGTGGCGATATAGATCAGTAATCCAGCACTCAAGGGGCTCAGACAGAATGATTATACTGAGTTTGAAGACAGCCTATACTACGTGAGTTCTGGGCAAGCCTGGGATATATATAGGGAAAGAGAACTAACTCCTGTATCAAAAGTGTGTGTTTCTAAGTGTGTATGTGTGTGTATATGTATGTGTATATCTGAGATTGTGTATGTGAGTGTGCGTCTGTGTGTATATGAGTGTGCACCTTGTGTGTGTGTGATATGTCCCTTTCATAATCACAGTTTCAGATATCTCACAAATGACATAGATATTCAACTATTTGATCTTCTAAAGGCTGAAGCTCAGGTACTGTGATTGGAATATGACTTGTGTCCCCAGAGTCCATTGGAATTTTCCCCTGGATCCTGGAGTGGTGCTGAAGGGAGGTGGTGGATTTGTGGGGGTGTGGGTCCTTAGAGCACTATAAGCTGGACGTCATTTCTGTGAGGTGCCTTGAGTTCTTGTAAGAGAATTCTTACAGAAGAAGTGTTAGCTCGGCATGTTGGCACACACCTCTCATCCCAGTGCTACAGAGGTAGAGGCAGGTGGGTCACTGTGAATTCCAGGTCAACCTCTTCTACATAGAGACCAGGGTTACATAGTGAAACCCTTTCTCAAGCCAGCAAGCCTAACCCTGCTCACTCCGTTCTTCTGCTCCCGTTCCAGGGCTACCCCAACATGCACCCCCACCTTGCACTTGCTCAGTCAGCCACCAAACCTCCATTGGGCACCTACAGCACCCTGTGCTAGGTACCAGGGACCCTGTGGAATGGGATTCTGTGTCCTCCAGCATGAGCGTCACCTCTGTACCTTTGTCTCCAAACCTGGCACACCTTACGAAGACACCAGTCATGAGATTTAGGGCCTGCTTTGAACTGGCATGTGTTCATGATTCAGTCAGCCATAGTTGTAGAAAGCCTGTTTCTATTCTCATTCTGAGGTTGTGGGTAGGAATCCAGGGGTAGATGTTCCTCAGCCCTGTACAGCTATGATGTGCTAAGCAAGCTACAGGCTGTAAAAGACACCAAAGCTGTGTCAGACTGCAACGATGTGTCTAATAACCTTAGTGTCAGTCTCCTACTCTCTCAATGCACACTTCCTGTGGGCCTACTGTGTGCAGGGCAGGGGACCATGGTAAGTGCCAAAGAACAGACTTCTGGAACTCAGCCTCATGCTCTTGGAGCAAAGGCCCAGATGCTGGCAGGGCTGGAAGCAGTTGGGCAAGCTGAGTTCAATCTTTTTAGAAATTACTCCAGAGACGTTCACTCCTTCTGAACCCATGCCCTTCTCTTCTTAGAGACAAAGACAGTCCCTAAGGTCCTATGAAGCTCTGATGTTCTGAGAGCTTTTCCAACATGTGAAAATGCTTTGGCTGGGCCTGGTGATATAGGTATAATCCCAGCTACTAGGAGGCAGAGGCAGAAGGGTCACAAGGTCAAGGGCGTCTTCACTACAGAGTGAGTTCAAGGCCAGCTTAGGTAACAGGGAAACCCTGTATCGAAATTTAAAAGGGAAAAAAATGGGGCGACGCTGTAGATATAGTGGTAGAGCACCTGCCTAACATGCATGAGGCCCAGAGTTCAATCCCCAGCACAGAAGAAAGGATGGAAGAGAGGAAGGGAGGGAGGGAAGGAAGGAGGGAGGGAAATTTGGGAGGGAAGAGGGAAGGAGGAAGGAAAAAGGAAATGCTGTGAGGTGCACAGTGCTATACACTAGGAGAGGTAGAATAACAATAACAGTGTAGCTAGTAAGTCGCTGCCCAGGTTCAAATTCCAGCCCTGTCTTTTACAAGCTCTCATGACCCTAGGCAGGTCATAGGTTACTTTACTCTCTGAACCTCAGTTTCTTTTATTTATTTAGTCTCTCTCTCTCTCTCTCTCTGAACCTCAGTTTCTTTTATTTATTTAGTCTCTCTCTCTCTCTCTCTCTCTCTCTCTCTCTCTCTCTCTCTCTCTCTCTCTCTCTCATGTCTTGTGTAGCCCAGGCTTGCCTGGTCTTGCTATACAGCCAAGGATGACCTTACATTTCTGATTCTCCTGCCTCCACTTGACATATGCTCAGATTAGTGGTGTGTATCACTCTGACCTGTTTTATGCAGAGCTGAGGATCAAATCCAGGGCCTCACACATACTAGGCAAGTGCTCTACCAACTGAGCCACACCCCTAGTCCTTCAGTTTACCTTCTAGAAGGTGAAGCAATGTGAGTTATTGTGTGTAGCCCTGAGGCCACAGGGTGGCCTGTGACAGTAACTGTTAGTCACCACTATCTCAGCACACTGTCACCAGGAAGCTCACAGCTGCAGTGGGAGATAAAACCAATGGGTGATGGAGCCAGAGGAAAACACTGGACAGTGGATCAGCCGTAGGGCTACCGAGTTGTCCCATAGCAGGTACCCTAAGGATTGGGGCAATTGGAGCCCAGGCATAGCCTTCAGACAAGAAGTAGCAATGCCAGGACACTCCCTAGACCTGGCATGTTAATTCTTGGTTATGATTATGAGCTAAATGCCTGGTGCAGCTACCAATAAACCTAACAAGTTTCTTCAGCTGACACTTAGCGGTTCCAGGGTGTGCCACCCATACCTGTTGAGTTCTGGAGAGGACCCTCCAGTGGGTGACACATCATGAAGAGGCCAGAGCAAGAGCACACACAAGAGAGCATGAAGACTTCCCTGTTCCCTGCACGGAACAGGAAACAAGAGGGCTGGGTGGGGCAGGGACCAAGCTTTTCTCACAAAGCCCTTGGAATATCTGCCTAGGGGTGAGAGTCCATGAAAACAACCTTAATCCCTTCTAAGGGTCCAAGAATGTCCCATCAGTCTCCACTTCTCCAAGGCCCCACATTTCCCATATTTTCTTTTCTTCTTTCTTCCTTTTTTTTTTTTTTTTTTTTAGTTTTTCGAGACAGGTTTTCTCTGTGTAACTTTGCGCCTTTCCTAGAACTCACTCTGTAGCCCAGGCTGGCCTCGAACTCACAGAGATCCACCTGCCTCTGCCTCCCGAGTGCTGGGATTAAAGGTGTGTGCCACCACCACCTGGCCCTTTCTTCCTTTCTTTCTTTCTTTCTTTTTTTTTTTTTTTTTTTTTTTTGAGACAGGGTTTTTCTGTGTAACTGTCCTTGAACTCGCTCTATAGACCAGACTGTCCTCAAACTCACAGAGATCCTCCTACCTCTGCCTCCTGAATGCTGGGATTAAAGGCATTCGCCACCACCTCCCAGCCCCATATTTTCATACTAGGGAACAAATATCCAATGCACAGACTTCAGGGGACAAAGGACATCCAAATCACAACATCCAGGTACCTAAGAGATTAAGCAGAAAACAGAGTAAGCTGACTTCATTCAGCTCAGGAGGCAAACTGGCCAGGGTTAAAATCCAGAGCTCTCGACCTCCTCCTCCTCAAGGGCCTCTTGAGCCAGACTTGCAAGTCTGGGCTTTGATTTTAATGACTGCACCTCACAGGGTGCTGTAAGGACCAGCCCAAAGAACACCCAAGAAGGTCTGCGCCATCCAGAGTCAAGTGCTTAACGGAAGTCAATTCAGGAAATAAGGATGATGCCTTCGTAATCTGACTAAAAGAAGAGCTGGCTCTCTGCTCATCCCTGCATCTTTCCAAGTCTTGCCTGAAAGCTGTGCTCTTCAAGCTGGTGCTCCTTCTGCTGACAGGTCCTCTTAACCCCAGCTCCCCCGCCTCTGACCTTGAACATCAGTCCCACCTCTGGAGTCCTGCACCAACTTGCGGCTCTGAGGATTTGGTTCACTCTTTGATAACTAAACAGCCCCAGGCCCAGCAACTATCCAATCCCAAGCCTTTCCTGGGGCCTTCAACACAAGTGGTTAGCAGCCCAGAACTACCCAGGAGAACTGTTTCCATAAGGCCTCTGTTTGGCTAGAGAAAAGCAAAGACTAACAGTCCCACAGTGGCTTTAACTGATAGTTATTTATCTCCTACAATAAGCTGAAGGCAGCTCAGAGCAAAGGAGGGTTTAGGGAAAAGCTGAGCGCCAATGATTTCCCCATTCTCTGATCCATCATCGTCCTTGACTTTCCTCATGCTGTCCTTCAATTCGTGCTCACAAGAGAGCTGCTTCCCTTCCACACCTCAGTTCTGCATTGTAGGCAGAAAAAGGAAAAGGAAGCAACAAAGACAACAGTACTATTTATTATCCAAAAGTATAGCACATGGTCACCTCTAGCTGCAAAAAAAATCCGGAAGTAAGTAGTTTAGATGGGCACATTGGCTTACAAAATATGGGTAATATTAGTAAGGAAGAAAAATAAAATAATACAGGAAGAAAACTGTAGCCTGTGAGCCAAAGCTGGCTCACTATTTGTTTTTATAAATAAAGTTTTATTGAAATGCAGTTGTGCCCATTTGTTTACAATACTAAAATTGCTGAGTGTTTACTAATACTAAAACTGAATATTTACTCAATACTCAGTGTTGAGTCATGTTAAGAGAGTATCTGGTATCCAGAGTTTAAAATGCTTGCTCTCTGATCCTTTACAGAAAAGCTTGCAAACGCTCCTGGAGTAGAACAGTAGTGGTATCTGACACAATTACCAGCAAAAGGCAGACTTCTCCCGGCCCCATTATAACTCTTACAATAAACCCCCACATTTTATGCCCCTTTGAAGCTGGTTCATTCGAGGCAATGCACAGACTAAGTCCAGCCTTGAGTTGGGAGCTGCATCGAACAGTGGGGACCATGATACGCTGAAGCTTTGGGGACAGAGAGTTCACCCCAATGATCCCAAGACACATGGACTGATACATGACAGGTCAATGGTCCATTGGTGTGTGTGTGTGTGTGTGTGTGTGTGTGTGTGTGTGTGTGTGTGTGTGCCCCAAGCTGTGATTAAAGACATGCACAGTGCTCAGTGTCTTCTGTGCGAACTGAGAACCCGGACTCACACCTTCATGCTTGCAGAGGAAGCACCCTTCCCCACTGAGCCACCTTTCTAGCCCTGTTGCTTTTGTTTTTGAGACAAGTTCTCACTATGTAGCCCAGGCTGGCTTCAGACTGACCATTCTCCTGCCTAAACCTGCCTAACACTGGAACTACAGCCATGGCCACCTACACAGGCATCTTCACATTTCTGTTTCCTGGTTGAGTTCATTGACTTTGCACTCACCAAGGATGAACCGGTTGGTGTTTAATTACAGGGCCAATTGCACCGAATACCACATAATCAAATCACAACGTCAAGGAAGCAAACAAACATAATCTCAAAACAGACCAGTTTTTCTTGAAGACCAATGCCAGCTTGCCTGACTCAGAATAGTCCTCTCAAAAAAAGGCAAATGGTTGATAGCCAATTTCTTCCAATTGTTCAATCCCCTGCAGTTGTGCTGGTGACTGCGTGTAAGCTCCCGAGAAAGGCCAGTGAGGGGACACTCATGAGCAGGGAAAGAGCTCCCTGGCTGACACTCAAAAATTCAACATAATTATCTAGGTCACCTGTAACAAGCTCCTTTCTGGAAAATGCTACCAATGAGATTGGTAAGATGAACAAATTATGCCCATAGTCCAACTTCCTGTGACCTGAGCATAAGAGTCCTGAGCAATGTTTTCTGTGAGTGCTCCCTTCCCCAGCTGCAGGCCTGACAATTGTACCTTAAAAAGCCTCCCCTGAAACAAAAACAAAAACAAACAACAACAACAACAAAAGCCTCCCCTGAAGGGCAGAATTCTGTTCTCACAAATACTTCCCCTAATACCCTTACTTAGTTACAATAAATCACATGCAGGCCCTGGTGAGGCACACAGGGCTGCCCCTCTGCTCCCATGGACAGTTTCTTCTGAGACACTGCAGGAAGACCTCCCTCTTCCTGAAGTAGCACTTGTCTCTTCAGGCTGGACAGAGGCCACCTGTACCACTCTATGCCAACGTAGAGAGGAGCTGTCCATAAAAACCAGCACATCTATAGCTAAATGTGTTTCAAGTTTATATTTTGACAAGCAGTACTGATCCCCCACCCCTTTCCCCCTGCTGTACTGGGAATTGAACCCAGGACCTTGTGTATGCCAGGCAAGCACTCTAACACTGAACTACAGCCACAACCTTTTATCAGTGTCTCTCTGTGTGTACACACACCCACTTTTTATTTTGACATAAGGTCTCACTAAGTTGCCCAGGCTGCCCTTTAATTTTCTCTGTAGCCCCTGAACTTTTGATCTTCCTACCTCAGCTGGGATTACAGGCCCTTTATCATAGTATTTGAAATATTTTAAACATGACATCTTTATGGTCAACCACACAAGCAGTAAGACTGGAACCCACTGCTTTAGCTAGTTCCACAATGAAGCCAGCTTGGCTTGGGACAAACTTGCCCACCCAACATTGGTGCTAGGAAGAAGGCACAGACAAGTCAGTCCTCCCAGCTCGGGAGTAAAAGACCTGGAGCTGGTGGCCCACTCAAGCCAGGTACGCGGGACCGGGAGGGGTACCCTCCTCCGGTAGTGGCAGCATTCAGCGATTCCCCCACCCACGCCCTTCTGGAAGCATCAGCTTGGACACGCAGAGCCAGGAATGCAGCTTTGTCAAGGGACGCGCCAGCGACGGTAACAGGACGGAGGAGTCCCAGGAGGGTTGGGGCGGAAAGTGGGAGACAGGGTTGTTCTTAGATAGAGGTAAGGGGCCTTCTGGCTGGGCTCCCGGGGTCACCGCCCCACCTCGCCCCGGAGCCCGACGTGGCGCGCGCGCTGGGGACAGCAAGCAGGAAGTTGTACTGGGGGCGCGGCTTGGGCAGCATTGCAGGTACACCCGAGGGCACCGCGGGGGTGAGCGCCAGGTCCCTGCACCAGTCAGGAGCGCTAGGGCACCGGAGCCAAGTCCGGCGGACGGACAGACGGTACGTTCTGGAAGGGGAAGGGATCCCGGAGGGATCCCGGATACGGGTTGCTGCATCGAGAGGCTCTGGTCTGGGAGTCCAGAATTGACTGTATCAGGCGGAGGTGATGTGGCTTCCGGCCTCTGGAAGTGCTGCTGGGGTCTCTGGGACCGCGGTCCTCCCGACTAGGTTCGAAAGGGGTGAAAATGGGGGTAGGGAGAAAGGAGAGGACTGCAACAAGGTCTTCCCGAATGGCCTGGGCTCCGGGGGACGGGGAGCAAAGGGCTGTTGTGGGGGTCTCCAGAAGCGGAGGGATGGTATTCTATTTTCTGGGAAGATGGTGTAGATGCACCTGACCAAGTCTGGTCGATCTGAAGAGGCCAGGGGAACTGACAGTGCGGGGGGCGGGGAGAATGACAGAGCCCTTCCAGGAAATGGGAGAGGCTCCAGCACCTGCAAACCCTCCCTGGCCTCCGGAGGTTCCCAGAAGAAAGAGGGCAGGACCATGGCCACAGGTGCAGACGTGCTGGCGCGCTCCGGGCTGGCGTTGATGTCCTGGCGGCCACGGGAAGGGCGAAAGGCCGGGAGAGCGGGCCCTTTAAGGCTTCCGGGAGGCGTGTCAGGAAATGCGCGCTGGGCCCGCCCCTCCGGGACCTGCCCGGCTGAGCCGGAACTCGCCCTCAGCTCGCGGCCTCGGCGAGGGCTTGCACCGCCGTACCTCTGTCAGTGTTCCTCGGGCCGCCTCCCTGAGCCTCCGTGACCTCCCTGCAGCACGCCCTCCCTTAGGCTCGGCGCGAGCGCTTCCGGGCGCTCCCGCAGCCCGCCCTCCACGTAGCCCACGCCTCCCTCTCGGTGCTCCGCTTCCCACGAGGTCCGCGCCGTGTTCTTTCCTCCTCCACCCTGCCCTTCTGTCCCCCTCCCTTGCTTTCTCCCCGCGACTCGTCCCTATTAGGCACCAGCCCCCTGTCGTCCAGCCGGCCGTGGTTGTCAAGGCCCACACCCTTAGCTAGGCCCCTTCTCCTTTCCCTGGGTCTTGTCTCATGACCCTCTCCTCTGGGAGCGAGCGCGATGTGGAGAGGTGCATCTGGGCAAATCCGGAAGCAGAACTTCATCCAAGACGGAGGGGACCGTTAGGTCACCCCGTGTGACAACTGAAGCCTGCACCCGCAGACCCTAGCAGCTTGGCGCCCTGTAGACCAGGGAATGCTTCTGGCCGTGGGGTGACCCCGCTCTTCTGCCACCATGAACAGGGCCCCTCTGAAGCGGTCCAGGATCCTGCGCATGGCGCTGACTGGAGTCTCCGTTGCCTCCGAGGAGGCCGATGCAGACAGCAGGAACAAGCCGTTTCTGCTGCGGGCGCTGCAGATCGCACTGGTGGTCTCTCTCTACTGGGTCACCTCCATCTCCATGGTATTCCTCAACAAGTACCTGCTGGACAGCCCCTCCCTGCAGCTGGACACCCCAATCTTCGTCACCTTCTACCAGTGCCTGGTGACCTCGCTGCTGTGCAAAGGCCTCAGCACCCTGGCCACCTGCTGCCCCGGCACCGTTGACTTCCCTACTCTGCACCTGGACCTCAAGGTCGCCCGCAGTGTGCTGCCACTGTCGGTGGTCTTCATCGGCATGATAAGCTTCAATAACCTCTGCCTCAAGTACGTGGGGGTGGCCTTCTACAACGTGGGGCGCTCGCTCACCACCGTGTTCAACGTGCTTCTGTCCTACCTGCTGCTCAAACAGACCACTTCCTTCTATGCCCTGCTCACATGCGGCATCATCATTGGTGAGTGGGGCCCGGGAGCTGTGGGCAGCAGGATGGGCAGCGTACCTTAAAGGTGAAAACACTGTAGGTACCTTTACTTTATCTGTCCCAGGTCCCTTGCATCATCAGTCCTGGGAAGAGCCCTGTAGAGAACAAATAACTTCCTTATGGTCACTCAGCAAGTTAGGGACCCAGCCAGGGTGAAAATAACAAATGTTAGCAGCAACTGCTACAGCAGAGACAACAGTCCCTGCTTGCGTGCGTAAAATGTGCCAGGCACTCAGATCTAAGCATTTGGTCCACGTTAACTCAACTAATGTGTCTGCATTTTACAGAGGGAAATCCAAGGCACAGAGAGGCTAAGTAACTTGACCAGCATCACACAGCTAATCACTGACGTAGCTGGGATTTAAACATATCACACTTTGGCCACCATGCCACTGTTCTTTCTCAAGAGCTCCAGGATCCTGATTGTCTGTCCAGTTCTCTCTAAAGAGGACAGAGCATCTTTTAATAAGCCCATTGTCTCCCTCTGACACTGCTACCTCGAGGTAACATCTGAAATAGTGGGTAGACATGTTTTAAAATTTATTTCTTACTTTTTTTTGGTGTGTGTGTCGAGAGGGGGTACACAGAGATCAGAGGACAACTTGAGAACTGGCCCTTTCTGCCACCACATGGGCGCTGGGGATTGAACTCAGATCATCAGGATTGGCACAAGCACCTTTACTCACTGAGCCATTTCATTGGTCCTGTATGTATGCTTTAAGAGGCTTTAACTGTCTTTCCAGACGTGAGTGTTGTGCTGATCATTACACATGTAGCATCCTCTTTTACCCAGAAGCCCTCTAGGTGGTGGCATTCCCTGTGGACCTCTCCATACAGTTGAGGAAACGGAAACTCACAGAGGCTAGGCTACTTGCCAGGGCCCCACAACTAAGATAGGCTGGGATGCCATCCCAGATTGGCCACACTCCCTGGCCTGGGTTTCAAGCCAGTCTGCTTTGATCCAGCCCACTGGAAGTCAGCACTGTGCAGTCAGACACATTAACTACAGGCCAAACGTGCTTAAATTCAGACGAACTTTTAAACATCTAGCTCCTCAGCTACAGGAGTTAGAACCTGATTCCGTGACCATCTTTGCAGTGCCCAGTAGTCATATGTAGCTCGGGGCTCTTGGCTTGGACAGCATGTGTTAGGGAACATGCCTGGCGGGTGTTAAGTGACTGCTGGGTTACAGAGACCAGGGCATCTGTTCCCTCAGGTGGAAATGTGACCTTCATTTGTACCCGCCCAGGTTCTTTAGTCTGTCTTGTTTGGCCTACTTAGTCTTCTCTGGTGTCTCAAGGGCCCAGGCTGGGAGCTCTGGATGTGGGGACAGGCCGATACATATATCTGCCCTAGAAATATTCCCCTGATTGAGCAGCTTCTGAATCCAGTAAGGGGTCTGGGCCAGAGAGAGGGCAGGTAAAAAGCTGTCAGCACTGGGGGACTCCCACCTGCCCCCCCCCCCCCACATACATCCTAAGAGAACTGGTACTCCTTACTTCCTTTGTCCTACAAGGTACCCTGGGATCCCACTTAGTTTACCAGCCCTGCCAGGGTTAGAGGGGATGGTCCCCCTAGTGGGGGGATTTACATGCAGGAAGGTACCAAAGGAACCAGTAGCTGATAGTGAGGCAGCTGAGAGCCATGGCAGCCCACCTGAGTGGCACGGAAAAGTGGATCGCTGTTGCCCCCAGAACTGGCCCCATCTGTTTCTTCTCCCCTCCCTTCCTTCTGTGAGGGAGGGCCTATCTCTGATAAGGGCTGTGGGGGTTCTAGAGGGAGTAGGGAGCAGGAGGAGCAGTCTAAGCAGACTTACTGAGGAGTCCTTGCTGACATGAGGCTGCCCAAGTAGTACAGACTGGACACACACAATAGAATGAGTAGTCTTTCCTGGGGACAGTGGGGAGCCACAGAGGAAGATCATTTTAGTTACAAGACAAAGAGTAGATTGGTTAACATGGGAGCAAGAACATGGCCCCAATTTTTATAGATGAAGGAAATTGGAACTCAGAGAGGTTAAGTAACTTCACCCAGGTAGCTCAGCTTCAAAATTACAGAGCAGTCAGAGTCCAGATCTCTCTGATGCCTGTGCAGATCCTGCTATTCTATGTTTCTGATCCTTATGGAAGCAGTAAGCCTCTGCCTTGTGAGAATACAGGATCTAAATAAAGAGACCAGAGTGTTGCCATGGGCAGGCACCTACCGGCCAGGGACAAGTACCTACTGGCCAGGGGCAGGCACCTACCGGCCAGGGACAAGTACCTACTGGCCAGGGGCAGGCACCTACCGGCCAGGGACAGGCACCTACCAGGCAGGGGCAGGCAAAGAGCGTTGTGTTAAAGGGCAGGGAGCAGGAAACTGGGAAGAGGCCTGGGTACTTGGTGGATCTAGAAGGGATTCCCCCGGAGAGGCCAGCTTTGGCCTTGAAGAATGGTAGAATCCCTGGAAAGACTAGCATTTTGGATGCAGACACACAGAGCTCTGTAGTGAGAAGTGGGGAGCTGAGAAGGTGGCTTGAGGCCATCGAGTCACAGAGGAAGTGCTGGCCAGATGCGGGAAGCCCAGTGCTGTGGCCCAGGGAGCCATGCAGGTTCCTTGAACAGAGGAGACCCAAGAGTGTAGAGTCTGTCCCCAAGGGACTCTGCAAGCAACATCAGGCCAGGAGCAGCTCTGACCTGATGCTCACACTGAGGGAGCCGAAGCAGTCCTGTCCTTGCCCAAGGTCACTTTAGCCACCAGCTGGCCCTCCTCCTGTAGAACATTCCCCCTGCAGGCACGTCCGTTGTAGCCCTCATTACAGTGATCACCATTGTAATTAGAGAGGTAACAGGGCCACACTGTCCTTATACCTCCCCCCTGCTAGACTGTGGCTGGGGGAGGGGGAAGGGGAGAGGCAGGTTTTCATTCTGGCCTCTACTCCCTCAGCCCTTGTTTGGTGTGGGGGATTAAATGCCGGATGTGCTGGTGATAAGGGCCACAGAACAGTCTGAACTGTGGTATCAGAATCTCGTCCCTCTCCTTCCCCTTCTCATCCCTCTTCACCTTGTCACTCTTCTGTCTCTGATACAGGTGGTTTCTGGCTGGGTATAGACCAAGAGGGAGCTGAGGGCACCCTGTCCCTGGTGGGCACCGTCTTCGGGGTGCTGGCCAGCCTCTGCGTTTCCCTCAATGCCATCTATACCAAGAAGGTGCTGCCGGCGGTAGACAACAGTATCTGGCGCCTAACCTTCTATAACAACGTCAATGCCTGTGTGCTCTTCTTGCCCCTGATGGTACTGCTGGGCGAGCTCCGTGCCCTCCTTGACTTTGCTCACCTGGACAGTGCCCACTTCTGGGTCATGATGACGCTGGGTGGCCTGTTCGGCTTTGCCATCGGCTATGTGACGGGGCTGCAGATCAAATTCACCAGTCCCCTGACCCACAATGTGTCAGGCACAGCCAAGGCCTGTGCGCAGACAGTACTGGCTGTGCTCTACTATGAGGAGACTAAGAGCTTCCTGTGGTGGACAAGCAACCTGATGGTGCTGGGTGGCTCCTCCGCCTACACCTGGGTCAGGGGCTGGGAGATGCAGAAGACCCAGGAGGACCCCAGCTCCAAAGAGAGCGAGAAGAGTGCCGTTGGGGTGTGAGCTCCTTCAGAGACCCAGCACTGAAGGCTTCCCGTAGAGCCAGCTGGTGTGGCCCTGAGCAATATTGTTTACATCCTCCTTGGAGTATAGTCTAAGAGGAGCCAGGGTCTTTCCTGGGAATGTCAGAAAGCTGCCAAATCTCCTGTCCGCCCCAACCTGTCTTGGGAAAACTCTCCTGGGAGTGGCACCCCTTCCTGCCTCCTCTTGGGGCCTGTCTACCTCCATGTCGTCTCTGGGGTTGGGGCCAGCTGCAGCCTTAAAGGGCTGGATTGATCACAAGGGAGATGGGTTGTGACTCCACTATGGCTAGCTGAAGGGAGTTGGGTGACTCCACATCTCTGGGACCCAGGGCAGGTAGAGTAACCAGGTGCTATTAACATCAGGAACACCCCAGCCTGCCTTTGGAGGGAGGTGGGAGCTTGGCCAAGGGAGGAAATGGCCACTCTGCCCTCTTCTGTGTGAATGGGTATGGCAGACCCATTCATGGGAGCTGCAGCCAGGAGTGGCTGATGAAAAAACATTCACCTCTGCACTCCATATTTGCAGCTTTAGAACGGGGGAGCCACACATCTTTTACAGGTTAAGTAGGGTGATGAACCCCTCCGCAGCCCCTAACCCCAGCTTTACTGCCTGGCTTCTCTTGGCCCAGAGGGGCCACCATCCCTTTCTCCAGCACTTGGCCCAGCTACCTAGCTGTGCTCCGTTTCTGGACTCTCTTCTCCATCATCGGCCTCCCCCAACACCTCCATCTGCAGGTAGGTAGTGGGGTCCACTCTTAGCCTCTGTTCCCTTGTGCTTGGACCCCCGAGCCCCTCGTGACAGTAAGAGACGTTTTGTGTTCTCTGAGACTGGGGCTAAAGGAGCCCACTGATTCTCAGAATTAGCCCATCTGGCTCCCATCACAAATAACCTAGACCAGGTGGCTAAGAACAGAAGTTGGTTTATAACTCTTCTGGGGACAGCAAAGCTCAGATCAAGGCACCCATAGACCCAGTGTTTCCGAGAAACATTCTGTCCACACACTCATGTGGGAAAAGTACAGACAAGCTCCCTTGGGCCTCTTATATAGGAGCACTAGCCCCATTCATGAGAGTTCTACCCCATGACCTGATCACCTCCAAAGCCTTCAACATAAAGACTCCAACATGAATCCAGGGACAGAAGCGCTCAGACCATAACCCCAGCACCACACCCTCATAACCTCAGGGTAGCGTCATTCCCCTAGTCCCTTCTCTTGCCTTTTGTACCCTCATTTCCTTGGGTAATGTCTGATGTTTTTGTTCCTGTCATAAAAAGATGGGGAGACTGTGTCCAGCCTTTGATTCTTATTTCCCACAATCCCAGGTTCTAATGAAGTTGGTGGGGCCTGATGCCCTGAGTTGTATGTGATTTAATAAAAAAAAAAAAAAAAGACATAGAGGGTGTGTGTGGACTGAGTGAGGGACACAGGGCCCAGTGGAAATATAAAAGCCAAGTCTGCAGGGACCCAACTACAGCAGGCAGCCTTTCTGAGCCTGGAATCTCTTAGGACAAGGATCCTCCATATACTTACTCTGGGAAGTGGGTGGCCAGCGTTGAAGTTGCCATCAGTACCAGCTGCCACTGGCTGTGCACTTTACTGACGGCAGACATGGCACTGAGAGCTGCCCACCTGCCCTTCGTCTCCACAGCCATTCCTACTGTGTGGGGTGGGAGCCATTCCCCACCCCATTTTACAGATGAGGACACTGAGGCTCACAGAGGCTTGTGTAGAGAAAAGTAGCAGAATTCAGTGTGGCTGCTGTATGTGGTTCTTTACCCCCAGTAAAAGCCTTTCTTCAACTGCTCTTAAACAGAACAAAAGCAACAAAAAAGCTATGAAGCTGGGGAGCTGGTCCTGTCAGTACAGTGCTAGCCAGCCTGCACGAGGACCTGAGGTCCATCACTGGAACCCACGGGGAAAACCAGGCATGGGGGCACATACCTGTAGTCCCAGCGCTGGGGAGGCAGAGACAGGTAAAGCCTCCAGCCAGCTCAGCCTAATCCCTGGGGCTCAATGGCCAGCCAGCCTAGCTTCATTGGTGAACCCAGGCCCTAGCGAGAGAGAACCTCTCAAAAAAACTATTGGATGACACCTAAGGTTGACTCCTAGCCTCCACATGTACACACATCTATGCATGTGTACACACGTGAACACACACACACACACACACACACACACACAAATGGTAATGATTGATTAGTAAAGTCTGTTGTGGGCTTAGCGTGTGCCGGGCACTGGTCTAAACACTGATGTACATTCGTGTTCCAGACAAGTTCTGGTAGCATCCTCTTGTCACAGATGAGGGCTCCCCAGTACAGAGAGGTGAGCATAACAGCTCACAGAACAGAGCAGACTCCCTGTCTGCACACTGGGATGCTCCATGAACACACGGACAATGGCCAAATCATCAATGGCCATAGTATTCCGACCCACAGCCTTGACAGCCACCGAGACCAAAAGCCAACCACCTCCGCAGTGTTGAAACAGGACAATCAGGTCTCCTCCCTCAGGCTACCTCCTCCGTGGACAGACACTCCCAAGCCAGAACCCACACCCTCCTAGCCTGCCCACCCCCAGTTAGCTTGCTGCTGGCACCCCCTGGGCCATCTGTCCAAAGGTGGCAGCCCTGAAGCCTGCCTTTTCTTCCCAGCAGGCCTCCTCCCTTCTCTGCCTACCTCTACCAGCTACTGTATTTGCAATGGTGGCCAACTCCCTCGCCATAGCAAACTCTAACCAAATCATCCTCATGCATTATCATCTGGGTGGTGTGGAGGGGCCCCAAAACAGCTTGACCACACAGCTGCCATGACAGACTTAGGGGCCCAGACACAGCTTCTGTGACAGGCTTACTGGCAGGCAGCACCCAGATCCAGGAAAAGCCTTAAGCTGATACCATCCAGGGATCTACCCAGGATGGTAGTACCTAACCAGGGAGGGGGAAGTACCTAACATCCCAAACATTCCGACCATTAGATAAGGTGGCCAGATGTCCCTGAGTTTAGCACATACCTATTTTTGTTTTAAAGATACCTAGACAATTATCAGCCAATCAGGGTCCTGAACCCTAGAAATCCCCTCACCCCAACCTCTGCTATGATTTAAAAAAACAAAAAAACCAAAAAAAAAAAAAAACCCAACACCTCTACCCTGCTTGGGCTCAGGGCTCTCTGCTCCCACTGATGCATGGGACAGACAGACCAAGGCCTGGAGCTTGAAAATAAAGGCTCTTTGCCTTTACATGCAAGATTCAGTCTCCATGGTGGTCTTTTGGGGGTCCCCGAGATCTGGGCATAACAGTGGTAAACACAGAACTAGAGAGACCTGTAAAAGGCCCCCCAAATTCCAAATCTTAAAAAAATACCACCGGTCAAAATAGTTTGTCACTCTTTGAACTTCTAGGTTTTGAAGTTAGCTGAGCCCAAGTTGCAATCTGTCTAGGCAGCTTTCTGTGACTGTCTCGAATAATACCTGAGTTCATCAACTTATAATGAGAAATGGTTGGCTAGGCAGGATAGCTCTGCCTATGATCCTTGCACTCTGGAGGAGGCCAGAAGAGAGAAAGTTTGAGGATAGCTTGGGCTGTGGTGATATTTGTTTGTGCTCTAACAAATAAAGCTTCCTGGAGATCAGAGTGTGAGCTAGCCACTAGAGGCCAGGCAGTGATGGCACACACCTTTAATCCCAGTACTTGGGATGTGGAAACAGGAAGTGATATGGCTGGGCAGAGAGAGGAAGTGATAAGGCGGGGTGGAGACAGGAGCTTGGCCCTGTCTGTCTGAGGATTCCTAGAGGTAAGAAGTCTCTCCAGTGGCTGCTGCTCTGCTTCTCTGATCTTTCAGCTTTCACCCTGATATCTGACACCGGGTTTTTATTATTAAGACTAATTAGAATTCGGGCTGCATTGAGCAATATAGCAAGACTCCAGAAAGGGCATGTTTTTCTAACTATTTGTGAGTTCAGTCCATGACTAATGGCCCTGCTTTGGGCCTGTGTTGAGCAGCACATCTTGGCTGGATTATGAAGCAAAATCATAATAATCACTGACCTCATAACTAGAGAGCCCATGACAAGGGGGGCTCACCCTGATGTCTAAGGACTTCTCACTAGGCACTCCTGCACTGCTGCCTAAGGGTTCTAGATCCATGGTAACCAAGCCTACGACTTACAGATGACCTCTGGGGTGGCTGAGGATCCACACTATAGCAAATGTCAGCCTTGCCATCTGTTTCCTTGATCATCACACTGCCGCAGCCTCAGTTTCCTGGCCATGTCTCGGCTGTGACTGTAATGTCTTGACATCTCAGAACCTTGTCTGCCTAATCTGTAGAGTAGGATGACACTATTCCCTCTTCCAGAGGGGAGTGGAGTGACGGGATCACAGTAGTGGAAAAGGCCCATTAAGGTAAAAGCATTTTCTTCAGATCAAGACAATGGAATCTCCAGCCTGGATGAAGACCTAGCATTCCAGTTGGGCAGGTCAGTCTCCAAGGGCCACCCTCAGGAAGCAGAACCACCTTACACCATGCTAAAGAGCTAGGAGGAATAATTATCCCTTCAATTAAATAATATATCTTTCCTTCCCAGAACTCCTGCCTCCTGGCACAGTCTCTTACAGGGACATAGCCAAGTAGCTTCGTGAGTCTGCCAGCTTTTCTTTAAAAGAAAATAGATAAAAATAAAAAATAGCACATATATATAATTTTATGTATGGATGTTTTGCTTGCATGTATGCTTGCATCATGTGCATGCCAGGTGCCAGTGGAGGTCAAAGAGGGTGTTGCATGTAGGTTATACGGCGCTGCTCGTGGCTGGCCGCCACCGGAAGAGAGTGCTGGAGGAGAGTCACGAGCCATGGTTACCTTTTTAGAGCTTTATTGGGAGAGAGTGGGGGAGAGAGAGAGGGAGAGAGAGGACAGATGGAAGGAAGGAGCAGAAAGGAAAGAGAGGGACGCACAGAGGGCCCACCCGCTTTTTAGGCTAGGACACCATCTCAGGCTGATGACGTAATTAAGGACCGAATCCTTACATCCCAGACTTTCACTTATTATAAAAAAAGCAGGTGGATGGGACTAGGGACGTCGTTCCTCTCAAAAACTGCTTCCAGCTGACAATTGGACATCGGTTGGCTCTTGGGGGAGTCTTCTGAGGTAGACAGGCGTTGTGGGATGCTGTCTGTCATCCATTAGCTCTGGAGACATGTATCCCTCTTGGCTGTGGCTGGGAACTTTCTGTTTGACAAGATGTTGATGATCTCTGGACTCCGGTTCTGTGGTGGTCCTGTACCATTAGCTGAACAGTGAGTTAGAACAGGGAACTGGGAAGAGAAAAGCTTGTGGTGCATGAGAATTTATTTTTTGGAATTAGGGACAAGGCAAAGACCAGGGCCCTGTCTGTATGCATGTGAGAATGAGTGGGTGGAGTTAAGATGAGTTAGGGCTAGAGTCAGTAGAAGCCGTAGAAACCGCCCAAGCCCGCCCATTTGAGCCTGCCCACTGCCGGCAGAAGTCAGACAGACAGAAAAGGTTGCACGTGGCAGACACAGAAGTGGGGAAGGAGAAGGGTTTAGAACTTTAGTAGAAAGCTTGGGGATAAAGTAACTCTTATTTGCCCGTTCGCTGGCAGAAGTTCCCGAGACACTGTTATGCAGCCAGGTTTACTAGTGCCCGCCCCTGTCCACCAATGTAGGTGGTAAATGTATCGTATCTGCCCATTTGTCTCATGGCTGTAGCAAAGGGAAAAATAAAAAATTAAAATAACAAACCGGGATCAGACTACAATCTTGGGCGTCCCCAAGAGTGGAGAGAGATCTATGAATCAGCTCAAGTCACCGTTCCTCTTCGTCAAGGGAAGGTGAGGGCTCGGCTGTACTGCAGTTGGTCCACCGTTGAACCCTAGACACCATTTACCTCCTCTTCAGGAGCGAAAATGTGCCTGCCATTGCCAGTACAGCCCGAGGACAACCCCCGGGGTGTCCGTCGCAAAGAATATAGCTCAGACTACAGCCGCAAGAATGGCAGACTCACTGTGAAGAATCATGACGGTATCAGTAGTGGTAGCTGTGTGGGGGTCCAGTGGAGGCTGCGAGGGATGCACATGTGCTCGTGGTCTCGCCGTCTTGCTGGATGGGGGAAGAGGCAGCAGCGGTCACAGCAGGTCCTCGGTGCTTGGTGGTGTATCAGAGTCTGAACGGCACCAATGTTGGTTAAACAGCACGCTGCTCGTGGCTGCTTTTTAGGCTGGGACGCCGTCACAGGCTGATGATGTAATTAAGGACAGAATCCTTACATT